GTCTTGTGCATATTCGGTTTCCCTTATTACTCAAGCGAGGTTATAGTAATGTAATTGATGAGTTATGCATGCGTGCGCAGCTTCCACTATATTCTCCTGGAGATTAAGCTTGAGGGCTAGTAACCGTCTTTAACTCGAGACGAAAATCTCCCGAGACCTATGCGGACATGACTAAAATGCTCGAGAAGTAAGTTCAATCGATCATTATCGCACCATATCGGCATCTTTTTGTTCATTTCCTGATATCAAGTAATTGTTTTCTTTGTCTCACAGGGTTTGGAAAGTATTCACCGCACAAGCTCCAGGACTGCCGGGGGAGCTGCGATGGACATACCCGAAAGTAAGTAGTACTAGCTAGCTAGTTCCGCGCATCTAGATCCCGTTGATTCTAGCTACTTTCATCAATGCCATTTATAATGCTTCATTATCAGTTTGATTGACCTCTATTTCTCGTAAAGTGCTTGTGGCAGGAACAAGGAAATGATTTCTGTGAATACTACATGTGCGAGTTCATCTACAACGCGACTTGCAAAGATAAGCGGGGCTACTCTAAAAGACAATTTGATGTGCGTAAGCAATAATATTCACAATTTCATTTTATTACACCATCATTTCTGTTGAGTTTCATTCATATGTATGTATTAACCCCCTTCTTCAAATTAGACGTGGGAGATGCGGAATGAACTCCTACCAGAAGATCGCATGAAAGCAATTCAAGAGGAATTAGCGGGATTCTTTCTTGACCACGTCATCAATAAAGCCGGAGAATACCATGTGGAACTTGATTTCAGATGCTAGGGAATTGTAACAGATCTTACATATTGTATATGTATGTAGCCAGTAGCGTCGGATAGATAATACGAAAAATTGTTGTTCGACCAATCTCTCGAAGAAGGAGAGGTCGATCACTTCTCTCAGTATGCATGACGAACTTCTGTACTTAATGATTTCCTTCATTTTCTTACTAGCTAGCTTGTCGAGGGCCTCTCTATATGTATAGTACGTAGTGTCGACCAAGCACGGAGATAAGAGAGGACACTTTTCTCTATTAATTAATTAGCTACATAACATAATATATGAAACACCTTAATTAACCATACAAAAACCCCAAATCCGCCCCCCTTTCAAAAAAAACAAAAACCTAGCCCCTGAACAGCTCATGCCTGGATGCCTATTGGTCCCGGTTGGTGCCACCCTAGGACTAAAGGCCCTCCTGCCTGGGCTCACCACAGCGGCCATGTGGAGGCCCATCTGTCCCGGTTCGTATAAGAACCGGGACTAAAGGCCAAGGGAATTAGTAACGACCCTTTAGTCCCGGTTCCGCAACCGGGACAGATGGGCCTTATGAACCGGGACAAATGGCCATTTTTCTACTAGTGATGCACACAAGTCTTTTTATCACCATTGTCGTTGAGACGTATGAGATTGGTTCAAGCTTAAAAGGAATGCATGCAGAGAAATAAGTGCAAGCCCTCTGATGAAGTGTATTGCAGTTCTTTGAGTTTTGGCATATGGGTGTTCGGCCGATGCAATTGAAGACTATGTCCACATTGGTGAAGACACAATCTTGGAGCCCGCTCGAAGTTCACTAGAGCAGTGATCGATGCTTTTGGACTGGAGTACTTGAGGGCACCCAGCGAGGAAGACACCCAAATGCTAATGACAGAGAGTGAAGCAAGAGGATTGCCATGGATACTTGGATCACTTGACGGTGTGCACTGGATCTGAAAGAATTGTCATGCAGAGTGGAAGGGTTAGTACAAAGGTCACTACAACAATCCAACAATCATTCTTGAGGCAGTTGCAACGAAGGATCTTTAGATATGGCATTCATTCTTTAGTTTTCCTGACTCTCACAATGACCTAAATGTGTTGTCGAGAACACCACTGTTTGCTAAGCTTATTACAGGAGATGCTCCTGCTTGCAACTATTCAGTCAATGAGCACAACTACTCGATGGGTTACTACCTTGCGGATAGCATCTATGCCCCATATGGGCCACATTAGTCAAAACAATTCCACGTCCAAAAGACAACAAAAACATTGACTTTGCTCAATGTCAAGAAACGGCTAGGAAAGATGTGAAGAGAGCCTCAGGAGCGCTTTGCAATTGTTCGTGGCCCCGCCGAGTACTGGAGCTCTCCAAGGTCCTATGGCAGATCATGACTTGTTGCAGTAGTACTGGGGTGCCAGATCTGGAGTTCGATGGCATGTCCGGGGTGTTGCCCTGGTCTGATTCGTTCAACGACAATGGCTTCACTTTTGGTGAGCCACTTAGGAGGCCCGCAAAGCTGCATATCAGCGATAGAGCCGTGTCGAGTTCGGGTGAGGAGGTGATCCGTTATTCTTTTCTTCGGTGGCTGGTGTGGTGGTGCCGGAGACAAGTGACGAGCGTTGGTGTCAAGCTCGAAAATGTTCTGCTATCTTTTCAGTTTTGTTATGTCGGTTTTTACGTGTGACTTGTACTTTGTTCTTTATGATATGAATGAGACACGTATTACCATGCAAAAAGAAAAGACCACATTTGTATTATTAAACTGCAAATTCTTCTGAACTGCAGTGGAGGCGACTGGCGGAGCTATGCGTTGGGAAAATGGGCTATGGCCCGCCCAACATATAGCAAATACAGTGTAGAATTGAGCGAAACTAGATCATGTGGATAAAAATCTTCCTTTGTACCGGCCCGGCCAACTTTTCTTGAATAGCTCCGTCACTCGGACAACAATGCCGAAAAGAATCCGAAAACAACCTTTTTGAACAAGATGAAGAGAACAACATCTAAAGATTATTGAGAAATCTCCTGTTTGTAGAACATTTTTTTTCTGCCAGTCTACTTCAATACCAAAACAAACATACCAAAAAGTTCCAGTGTCTGAAAACTAATCTCGTACTTTCTGTTTGCAGATCGAGACATGTAGAAAGGTTGAAAGTGTGCTGACACGCGGCTGCACTGGATACATATCAAGGTTCTACCGTTTCATTTTCATGCTGCACTGGACCAGGCGAAACGCATCGCAAACAAGAAAGAGTTCCTCGAGAAACAGACTACGGACTCGATGATGCTCGTGTGTACAGACAGGTTTGGATCAACCACAACCAAACAACATTTTTCAGATTCAGAAGTGTAATGTACTTAACATCCAATGATGTTCGTGTAGCTAATGTGTACAGTGAGAAGTGCAGTGTAGTATTTAACATCCAAAATAAGTGCAAGGTATTCATGTTCAGATTCAGTAGTGGCAACTAAGGGCATCTTCAGCCGCGCCCTCAAGAAGGCCCCCCAGACGTTTTTTCGTCCGCCGGCGTAAAAAAATCGGCCCAGTCGCGCCCCCAAAAGCCCAGTTTTCGCCGGCTCGGGCCGAAATTGGCGCCGGCGGACCCAACCCGAACCCGGCGCGCTGGGGGTCGCTCGGGGGCGCCGGGCGAATCGTTTTTGGCGCGAAGAGCCGCGGGCCCGCCGCGTCAGCAACTCTACTCTCTTCTCGCCCCTTCGTCGTCCTCATCGCCTCGTTTCCCGCGGCGAATCAATGCCAAAACTGCCGCGCGCTGCCGCGCCGGTCAGTCTCCATTGATGCCTCACGGGTGGCGCAATAAAGGCTGGGCGACGCGTCCCTCGGCCGCCACGCAATCACGCCACGCGTAACGCGCCTGCCAAGCCTACCACGCGGCGTCTCCGCCTATAAAAGCCGACTGCAAGCGCGCCGGAGAGACTCACCCCGATCATCCACCGACGACGCGCTCATTTCTCCCCCTTTCCTCCTCTCGCCGTCACCAGTTGAGAAAGCATGGCCGAGCGTTTCCCAGGCGACGGCGCAACGGCGAACGGATTCGGGCGCCGTCATCTGCACGAGGACGAGGCTCGCCTCCTTTTTGAGGCCGAGTACCCGGTCCCGCCGGACATGCGGGTGCCCGGGGCGTGGAGGACCAGCGCCGGCGGCGTGCCGGTGCACCCAGTACCCATCGGCGCGGCGCGGTGTGCGAAGATCGCACGCATCCGCTCGTCCCTGCCGCGTGCGGCGAGGGAGGGGCCCCGGTACGTCCCTGACAGCCCAATCTGGGAGCCGTACTTCCGCCGCCGGCACGGCGAGCAGCTCGAGGCCACCAACGACGTCGTGCCCTCCGGCAGGTTCAACGCCGCCGGCCGGCGTCGGTGGTGGGGCGTGCCCGGGCGCACGTTGGAGTCCGTCCTCGAGTACATCGAGGGCGGCAACACGCCGCGCCTCGAGTACCCCGCTCCCCCGTCCTTCTCACGCCGCCGGGGAAGCTCCTGGACGCCGAGGCGCATGGTGACCGGGGTGTCCTCCTCCTCGTCCGGCGGCTCTCCCTGCCTCCACCTCCGTCCCGTCAAGCCGGAGCCCCAGGACACGCCTGTCAGCGCGCATACCCGCAGCTCCGGCGTCCTCGTCGAGCCCAAGGTGGAGTCCAGCCTCCCCCCGGAGTACGAGGAGATAGCCCGGCGCGGCTTCTCCGACGAGGACGCCATGCGGTGGTCGCGCGACGACTACCTGCGCGAGGAGATGATCCAACAGCGCCGGGCCCTGGAGGAGATCGCCGCCCGCAAACGTGGGCGCGAGGACGAGGACGGTGTCATCGTCCTCGATAGTGACAACGACGACGCCCCCGGACCGTCCAACCCGCCGCGCCAACCGGGGGAGGGATGCAGCAGGGACGGCGGAGGCGTAGGCGGGGGCGACGACGACGATGACGACGACGGTGACTACACGCGGTTCTACAGCCTCCTCGGCATGTAGAACCGCGTGGGCGGGCGGCGAGGCGGGCGACGAAGGAGACGGCGGGGTAGCCCGCGGTAGTTTTTTTTTATATAAAATATGTTTAAATTTGAACGAACTCGCCCGTTTTTGCGTTGTGTTTGCGCCGAATTTGAACATTTTAAAAACCCGTGAGGGCGTGACTGAGAGACATTACACCTCCGGTGCGCGGTTTAGCGTCGGTACGCCTCAGGGGCGATTTTTTGCCCTTCGGCCAACGGCTGGAGATGCCTAAGTGCTGGCGCGGGTGTGCTCGTTGGCGGCGTCGCGGGCGCGCAGCTCCCTGATCTCCTCCTCCCACTTGTCCACCCTCTCCTTGTGGATCCTGCGACGCACGCAATACAGCAAGTAGTTGGTGAGCACCCGCCCGAGGAGCAAGCATGACGATGATGGGGCTTGCCGCGGCGAGTTTCTTTTCTTACGTGCAGAGGCGGTCCTCGAAGTCGGCGGCGAGGTCCTTGAACATGGCGCGCCCGGAGTCCAGCATCTCCGACACCTGCAATGCCACCGGCATCACTAGACGATTAAGGTGGAATCGGTGGGGGAGGAGGAGAGGGTGAAGAGGCGCACCTTGCGAGTGAAGTTGTCGATGGCGAGGAGGATGCGCTGGACGTGCTCCTCCGTCTCCGCCGACCCCACCACCTCAGCCTCTGCCGCCGCCACGACGGCCGTCTCGTCCCCGTCCATCTCCGTGGCGGCCGCGCGCTGACGGCGACCCCAGAGGACGCCGGCGCTCCCCTGGCTCGCGGTGTCGTCGTTGTCGTTGCTCTGCACAAACGCGTGCAGCATTCGATTACTCGCGAACTCAAAAACTTCACGGGAAACTCGAATTCGACTCCGAAACTCGATCACCAGCGCGCTCCAAATGTTTCAGTGGCTTAGGGCCTGTTCGTGAGCTCGCCGAAAAGAGGAGAGTTTTTTTTTTTTTGAGTTGAAAAAAAAGGACAGTTACAAGAGGACAAGTCACGTACAGTTCTGGGGCCTTGGAGCATTGGGGAAGGTGGATGACATGGCTGCAGTAGCAACTGTTGCTAGGAGCAGCAACGGCGAGTTTCTGGGAGCTTCTACAGTTGTTTTTCTCAGGCTGCATTCATGCAGAGATTGTTGAAGCGCTTGCAGTAAGGGAGGCGCTATCATTGGCAGATGACCTGCTCGCCCGAAGAATTAAAATAGCTTCAGACTGCCTCAGAGTTACCAACACACTGAAGGAGGGATCCAAACCAGTGTACTATCATATTTGGCAGGAGATTAATTAAGGGGGCGTTTGTTTTCAGAGACTTTTTGATGTAGAGACTAGAAAAAATCTTTTTTAAAGACTTTTTAAACAAACAGGAAAGACTATTAGGGACTAAAAGTTGCTTTTTAGGATTAAATGAAGAAGACTCTCAAGAAAAGTCTTTTTTTGGACTTTTTGGGACTTTTCCAGCAATGCCCCTCCATGCACTCATTGGCCCGCCACCCTATGGTGTTGATTGATTGTTATTTTTCTATATACCAGGAGTAACATGGCTATTTTATAACCTTTACGGAGGGACTAGGGACTTTTTAGTCCCTGAAAACAAACAGGAAGAAATTTTTTAAAAACTAAAAACTTTTTAATTGGAACTAGAAAAAGTCTTAAGACTTATGAACCAAACAGAGCCTAAGTCTAGAGATGCGCAGTTTAACGTGGTTGAGTTCAGTCATGAGAAGTGGGTTTCAAACTTTGAAGCCCACATGCTCGCCCGATCATCGCTCCAGAGTAATATTGGTCGATGCATTTGGCTTTTAGATCAGCCTGGGGCTTATGTATCCTAGAGATTTTGTAATTTGACGTGCTGGGTACTACACCACTAAAAAAAACATATAATACGTGCCAGTTATGTAAGTCTGGCATTATTGGGGGCAGCCCAGTGCGAAGGGGTCAGTAGAGGACTGCCCCGCTTTGGTGGATCCTACTCTATCCTAGTCGCCATCGACAAATTCCATTGACAAATTCTTAAAGTATGGACACTTCATACCTCTTATGCATCATTAGACCTTGTACAATGAGAGGTGCTTAGAGAGATGCTTAGAAAAATAAACCAGGTTTTTCTGAAGCACCGGTGTCTATTTTTATCCTGTATAAATAAGCACTGATGCTTAAGAAAGCCTAATTTATTTTTCTAAGCACATTCCTAAACATCTCCCATTGTACAAGGTCTTACACGGTAGCCATAGTGATGACTTTGTCTATCGTCTGCACGACATGTCTCAAGTCGTCATCTCATGAGTATAAAACCTACACTTCTTATTTTCTTGTCAATTGTGACTGTACATATAGGTTAGGGTCATGTATTGTCACGCTTCCTTTCTCTTATGTACAGTGTATAGCTTGGGAGACAAGTCGAGGTTGTGCACCCATGTACCTATATATGAATTAAGTCGCATGCAATCCAATCTTTCCTAACGACAGCGACGGGTGAGGTTGTCTGTGGTTAGCACAACTCCCCTTCGAAGATACCATAACTTTTTTTAACTTTAGTGGAATCTTCGGCATCCAAATTTTCTTGTTATTATCCACTGGGACCTTTGAGTGCGTGAGCGCATAGTACATAAAGTCAACTGCAAAAGACCCAAATATAGTGAGGTTCAAGGGAAACACATTCCGTCCTTGTGTTGGGTTAATCGATTCCAATTGGAATGGCAGATTTTGCCATGACATAAGACGGATGCCAATTAAGTTCGGCCTGAAAGAAATACTCAGTGGGAATGAATTGTGCACATTCGCAAAGAGTATCATTCTAATTACGAACAATGCGGTACAAAAGGTGGATACTGTTCTTAGAGACTGGCATTGCCTAGCCAAATGTTGTCTCAGAAACGAATTTCTGACCCATCTTTTATCGTGAAGGATCCAAAACGAAAAAGATGTTTCTTCACAGCCATTAGACCAGCCCAAAAATGCAAGTCACCAGGTTTCCAATAAGCCTGGACATAAATTTATGGCCTAGACACTTATTGCGAGGTAGGGTTTACCAAAATCAGCCTCAATAAGTAGTTTGAACAATCATTTACTAAGTAAGACATCATTCTTAATTTGCAAGTCATGAATGCCAAATCCACCTTGATCTTTTGGCTTATAAACCATGCTCCAATTAGCGAGTCTGTACCTTTCCTTTTTATTTTCTCCTTGCCAAAAGAATCTGGATCTGAAATACTCCAGCCTCTACAAGACCCTTTTTGGGAGTTGAAAAAAAAGAAAGCATACAGAGAACCATATTTGTAAGGACGTAGTTGATCAAGACTAGTCAACCGCTTCTCTAAGCATTCCTCTACATATTTTCACTCCGCATTTGTGAGACGTCGATAATGAATCAGAATTTCCAAATATTTAATTAAGAATTAACATTGCGCACAACCAAATAGGTCAGTGTAATCAGCCGCCGCCTCACTGGCTTCTCCAAAGCAGGATAATTTGCTTGTATGAAGATTAGTTATGTGTTTATGTCTAACGATATTTCATTTTTATATGTTTTTTTTCTTTTGAAGGCAAAGCCACTGTGCATAATTATGTCCTGCTGAGACAGCCTGTGGGTCTTACTGAGGCCCTACTGGTCTTACTGAGGCCCTACTGGGCAGTCAGATCTCGAAACAGATCGAAACGTGCAAGCTGAGCGTGTGCTCTTGATAGATTCTTGCTGAGCTGCTACCTCCTTACAATATTTCCTCAAAAGGGTCACCCTTCTCTAAGAAAATAAGATCAACCCTAGAAAACAGTGGCATCCAGACCATTATTGGAGTAAAATAAACCAACAATTCGTCTACTTGGCCATACATTTTTTTAATTGAAGCTGCAGTACTTCGGTTCTGAGGGGTAGAAACATGACTATTCTCTCTGTTCCAAATTATAATATGTACTAACTAGCTTTTTCTAGATCGGATTTTCTGAATCGAATGTATATAGACGTGTTTTAGTATGTTTGTTCGTTCATTTCAGTCCGTTTGTACTCCATATATAAATATCCGAAAACATATTGTAATTTGGAACAGAGAGGATAGTATATTCTTCGCACACAAAAAAACTGAAGTACAGTAGTACTCCCTCCGTAAACTAATATAAGAGCTTTTAGATCACTAAAGTAGTAATCTAAATGCTCTTATATTAGTTTACAGAGGGAGTATATATTATACCTATGACATATGTGGTGCAGTGTCACCTCTGGTCCGGTTGCATTCGAGGGAGGCTCCAAGTAGGGATGTTGCCAAGTGCGCAGCCCCAGTTGACTTGCCCTTTCCCCTCTTCTAGCCAGTTCTATCCCAATCCATCCCCCATCGATCCCTATTCATCTCTTCTTCCCTAGCTAGCTACTTGTTGAAATTCCTGTTTAGTTTGTGCAGATCATCATATGCATATTGTTGCTCAATATAGGATAGGGTTCGCGAGATGTTCCCAGATGCCGGTGCAAGCCCATACTTCCTACAAAACCAGCAGCAGCTCTTCCATGGAATGAATGGCATCGGGGTGGACGCCGCCTTCCCCGGAGACGGCGGAGGGCTGGCGGTGCCCGACAGTACCCACCGCAGCACCCTGCTGTACAACCTGTCCGTGCTCAAGGACAAGGTGCAGCAGCTGGAGCCGCTCGTCGGCCACGGCCACGTCGTCGACCCCGTGGTGCCCGGAGCCAGCGCCGTCGTCCAGGAGATCATCGCCGCGGCTACATCCATGCTGTACGCCCTGCAGCACCCTTACGTCCTCGGCGCGTTGACAACATCCGGTAATCATGCGGCCACGCCGGAGGGTGTGGTCGACGGCCATGCAAAGAACGGCGCAGCGGATGATGACCAAGACCAGCAGGCCATGGTGGATGCCATGCAGCTGTGGCAGCAGCAGCACCATGGCGGCGGGCACGACATCCCCGGAAAGTCCACGGAGGCGGCCGCCGTGTCATCGTCGACGCAAGCGACGACGGCGGTGGACACGGCGATCATCGAGCTAGACGCGGCCGAGCTGCTGGCCAAGTACACGCACTACTGCCAGGTGTGCGGCAAGGGGTTCAAGCGCGACGCCAACCTGCGCATGCACATGCGCGCGCACGGCGACGAGTACAAGAGCAAGGCGGCGCTCGCCAACCCGACCACCAGGCTGTTCGCGACCTCCGGCGAGGACGCCGCCGCCGGGAGACCAAGGAACAGCAAGTACTCGTGCCCGCAGGACGGGTGCCGGTGGAACCGGAGGCACGCCAAGTTCCAGCCGCTCAAGTCGGTCATCTGCGCCAAGAACCACTACAAGCGCAGCCACTGCCCCAAGATGTACGTCTGCAACCGCTGCAACCGCAAGCACTTCTCCGTCCTCTCCGACCTCCGCACCCACGAGAAGCACTGCGGCGACCACCGCTGGATATGCTCCTGCGGCACCACCTTCTCCCGCAAGGACAAGCTCGCCGGCCATGTCTCCCTCTTCGCAGGCCACCAGCCCGTCGCGCCGCTCGCTCCCGGCAGCGGCAGGCACGGCAAGAGATCCTCGTTATTGTCCACGTCCTCCGACGACCTTGCTGGAAACTGCACCAACACCGGCTTCTCCATTACTCCTACTACATGACATGCATTGTGCAAATGTGGCCTCCCGTTCATCTAGAAAATATTGTGCAAATGTGATATTGGTACACGTACGTACGTGAGCCCATCAAACTGTAGATATAGTGGGGCTTGGTTACACTATGGATTGTTTTGGAAAATAGGGCTACCATGCCCTGGAAATAGGGCATTCATACGTCTAAAGTTTTCTCTCTCTTCTTTTGTAGTATGTCAACTAGCCATACTCATGCATGCGTTGCCTGCCACGAATGGGAGATTTGATTTCTCATTGTCGTATGCAATATAAATTCATTACTTAAGATATGAAATATGTCGGATTTTTTACAACACAAAAATCTTAACCTTAAAAGATTGAAATGTTCATAACTACTCCCTCTGTAAACTAATATAAGAGCGTTTAGATCACTAAAGTAGATCACTACTTTAGTGATCTAAACGCTCTTATATTAGTTTACAGAGGGAGTAATTGTGATCGGATTTAAAATCCACTTAGAACACACTAATGAATGTTGCATGGTAGTAATAGGGAGGCTCATGTCTAGATGAGATGGATGATAATATTAGGGCCGCCATAAGTGTCACACTTGTGGCACGAAGCAATTCCGCTTGACGTTTTTTGATGCCAAGTTTAGTTACATGAGGATGACAACTTTCTGTTTGGATGACAAGTTTCAGTTTTTTTGTGGATTTTTTTCAAATGACAATTTTAGTGTAGAAACAACAGGGTAGTGTTACTTCATGCCACACGTGTGACACTTAACATTTGGCTAATATTGATGGACAAGCTAGCAAATCCAGCTGTTGAACATATTTGATGATGCGTAGTGGGGCTTGTCTAGAAGATGAATATAAATGTGGCTTGTCATCAAACTGTTGCCGCCCTGCCTTGGTGACACCTGCTGCAAATGCAAGGGAAGATAAAATCAACATCAGTAGAAACGATTGGGAGTTTCCAAAAAAAAAAAACGATTGGGCATGACGACTCGAAATCATACATACATGCATGAAGATAATATTTACTTTGGATGAGGCCTAGTAGCGTAATTTTGTGATGAGTAATCATCGATGTAACAAAGACCACTATAAATGTCATTGCGTCAGTTACTCTATTCCTCACGAAGACCACACCCGAAATGTTACTATGATATTATACAGAAAATAAAGGAGGGTCGGCCAGACAAACATAAATTCACCCTAACCTGTCCACATCATTTGGTGGAGTTATCCCTTCTAGATTCTGTAATTTCCCTCATGTACTCCAACCGAGCCATATCTAAAAGATATAGATTATCGATCCCTATCTAGATCTTCACCAATATTTGGTAGAGTATCTTTAATCATGCATGAAGTAGCTCATTGCCGCCACACCTTCAAGAGCAGTGAGAATGATGGCAATAGTTTCCTCATCATGGTACGCCTCCTCGGCTGTATTGACAAAGCAACACACATACACCCCAGGGACCTATATGTGTTTTTGTAGTGAGGGAGTTCAATCAATTAGTTTACATTGTAAAGCGCAACAATATATGTTTCCATGTAACACAAAATCAACACTAGTGTTTTACAATTTTTCCTCTCTTTCTTGGAGTCATTACTGTGATGAGATGTGTATCTATAGAAATTACGTATGGCTTACCCTAGAATCATTTTAGAGATAAGAGATAGAACTTCTTTTTGAATAGAGAATTAGTGTTAGAAATCAATATGAGAACACAAATGGTGTTGATATCAGAAACAATGAGATTATTACCATGATAATAGAAACCAAAAAATATAACTAGGGTCCATAGTTTTTATAAAAAATATAACTAGGGTCCATTTTACCTTATTAATTATTTTATAAAATACCTCTATATGAGTAGTATGGAAAAAATATAACCAGGGTCCATAGTTTTTGCAAGATACTCCCTCCATAAACTACTATAAGATGTTTTAGGTCAAGTGACCTAAAACATTTTATATTAGTTTATAAGTGGGTTACCTTTTTACACTAGAAAAACAATATGTATAAAAACTATTTTAAATTTACGGAGACAAACAATGTTTTTATACTATAATAATAACTCATTTTGGGCAATGGGCTGTATTAAAAATGATAAAGAGGTATAATCGGTTCATCCAACTGGTATATGGGGAGTGGGAGTACATAGTCCTATATATAAAAATGAACCTATACTATTAATAACGAGGTTTACCAAAATGCCGGCATAAGGAGTTTTCCTAAAGTACTCCTCAATTATGTCTCATTCTTCACAAAATTCCTTTTAGAAGAAAAAATAAGACCTCAACATATAAGACAACATGACCAAAAGACCAGAAAAGAATATTCGTATTACAATTTTAGTGTGGTATATTTATGTCATTTATTAATCCTACGGTCTTACTTTGTCTAATACATACCTAGTATCTAGTACATATGCGAAATTCACTTGACAACGTAGCCACTAGGCAAGGTAAGAAAAAACTTGAAACTACAATGCCTTCACTGAAACAAAATGAGCGCCTGGAATTTGCCATTGAAGGTGATAATAATTCAACGAAAATACATAATTACATCTGAAATCATAAGAATAGGATGAAACAAAAAATATGCTTGGGAGTAACACTGAACTATGCCCCCTCATGGAGAGTGAATCTACATAATGAATTTCTTGAAACCGCTACACTAGATGGAAGCAATAGCAACAAACAAAAATCACACGTAGAAACATAAAAGAAACAAATTGTATTCACATGCAAATGCTTATTGGGTTTGCACCAAGGATCATGCATACTGTTCTCCAGAATTAGTTGGGTTGAGAAAAATTAATTGGCTTCAAACAGACCATAGGGATGACATGACGAGTACATTGGATCAAGTTTCTAACATCCCACGTTTATTTTTCAGCCATCGACAATATTTTGTGCTCCCTATATCCCATGATGGATGAAACTATGGTATATATCATTATGTTTTCTTGTTCCATGTCATGTTCCATGTCATATATGGTAGATGGTTGGCCTTACTATTGATATTGCACTAACGCTATTCAAAGGCATTGCAAAACCAATACCGCGACAAAGAACATGAACCTCAACCACAAACTCCATTATAGATAAAACCCTATAACTTTGGGAAGGAGATGGCAACATGTGTCATCGAAGGTCGCCTATCGACCCAGACTGCAAGGACCATGAAACTCATCAAAACACTTCAGTAAAGGGCAGAGATGTGCTTGCATCACAAAGAGAGTCGATGGCTGATGACCCACAAGTATAGGGATCTATCGTAGTCATTTCGATAAGTCAGAGTGTCGAACCCAACGAGGAGCAGAAGGAAATGACAAGCAATTTTTAGTAAGGTATTCTCTGCAAGCACTGAAATTATCGGTAACAGATAATTTTGTGATAAGGTAATTCGTAACAGGTAACATGTAACAAAAGTAAACAAGATGCAGCAAGGTGGCCCAATCCTTTTTGTAGCAAAGGATAAGCCTGGACAAACTCTTATATAAAGGAAAGCGCTACCGAGGAGGTGAGGACACATGGGAATTATCGTCAAGCTAGTTTTCATCATGCTCATATGATGCGCGTTCGATACTTTGATAATTTGATATGTGGGTGGACCGGTGCTTGGGTACTGCCCTTCCTTGGACAAGTATCCCACTTATGATTAACCCCTCTCGCAAGCATCCGCAACTACGAAAAAAGAATTAAAAATATGTGCTAACTCATTTCATAAAGCTGTATTTCACTCCATTCATAAACAAAACCTCTCAGTTCAAAAAGAGACTTTTCTCATTTTGGATAGCAGATTTCACTCATTTCATAAAAACAAAATGCTCTTTTAACTTTTTCACTAAAATCAAATAAAACATTTTAATCATGAAAAATAATATTTAAAAAAGTTGATTTCACTAGATTCAAAAAATAACTTCTCTCCATTCAAATAAATGATTCCACTCATTTCAAAAATACATATTTCACAAATTTCGAAAATCGGATTTCACTCATTTTAAAAATAAATATTTCACTAATTCCAAAAAATGGTTTACACAATTTTTAAAAAAATAAATAAGTAAAAAAACTAATTTCAATCAATTAAAAAAATCGATTTCACTCATTTCAAAATTTTGATCTCACTAAATAAAAAATCACTCATTTTAAAAAACTATCTTTCAGTAGTTTCAGATAGCGTATATTGTGCATGTCAAGAAATATATTCGCTTTATTTCAGAAAAGCGAGCAAACCCCTTGATTTCACTATAATCAGATAACATATTTCACTTATTCAAAAACTTATTTCACTCCTTCGATATAGCACATTTGACTCAATGAAAAAAAGCAGATTTCACTAATTTCAGAAAACTGATATCACTCATCTAAAAAACAACCGCTCTTCTCAAAAAACCGATTTGTCTAATATAAAAAAACATATTCACTTATTAAAAAACAGATTTTCTTATTTAAAAAATCAGTCATTCTAGTAAATTGAAAAATCACTCATTTCGAACATAAATATTAACCCATTTCATATAATTAAAAAATGTTAGAGGTTTACAAAATTCATATAACTAAAAGAAATGTTAGAGGTTTACACAATTCATATAATTAAAAAAATGTTAGAGGTTTACACAATTTCAAAAAACAGGTTTCACTTTTTTTTTGCGCAGGACTCGCACTCGTAGCGCAGCTGCCCATGACGCAGTGCGGATTCGTCCACACCGTCGGACTCAGATTTAGTGCCACAGGCAATCTGCTCCTTTCATTTCTGATCCAACGGTTGTGAAACAAAAGTCAGGCAACTGTGGCCGAGTGACTTTGCTTCACCACGTTAGCGGATCTGCCGCCGCCACCTCCTCCATGGATCCCGGCATCGGGTAGCCTGCGTCACGTCGCCGCCGGTAGCACCGTGCCGCCCCGCGACCTCTACGGCACCACCGACGCCTACCACCTCTTCCCCACCCGACGCCGACGCCCACGCCACCTCTGCTCCGCCCCACCTCCGGCCGTCAGCTCAGGGCAGCTCCTGATCCCGCGCGCTGCTCCGGCGGCGAGCATGGCGTTCGCCGGACGGGACCCCGGGCCCTCACGGCCCGCTCTCCTCATCCTCCTCAAGACGCTATCGCTGCTCGTGCTCCTCACCTTCTCCTCCGCCGCGCCCCCGGCGGCGTCGTCTCCCGCGGCTGTGCACAACAACAACTGGGCCGTGCTCGTCTGCACATCCCGCTTCTGGTGAGACCCCCTCTATCATGTCTGCCCCATACCGTCACCACGCCGTTCGTTGCTTCCTAGCTGTGCGTCCGTTTGTTGTGGATCGATGCAACTGTAGTGGGTTCAGGTTCAGTGTGCCAAATGTAGCAGTGAGAGGTCTAGAGAAACAAGGGCGTTGCTGTAAGTGCCGACAAGTGCGCGCGGTTCATACAAGGATCTCGATCCAATTGGTGTAGATTGCATTCGCCTGTGTATTCATGAGTTTGTGCATCCCTGTTTGCCAAGTATTATATCGATGTCACTAATACGGAGCGATTTGATTTTTCTCATTGACTGGGATCCATTTGTAGTGCTTTATTCTTCTGATTGTGTATAGTTTAATATTGTCATCAGTGGTGGAGCCAGCCTGTTCATAGGGCCTGGGCAAGGCTAATGGTCACCGTACTGATGAACATTTGCCGATGAAGCTCCCTATCGACTTCTCCTGCCCTGCTTTAGCTTGAACAAAGGTTCCAGGATGAACCTGGGCAAGCCGCCCAGGGTCGCCAGGAGGTGGCTACGTCATTGATTATCAGTATGACCGGAGATCTCAGTGGTTTTACAACTAATAATTGAATAGAGTTTATTCGTTCTCTCTGTGGGTGTGTAATAATAATGATGATGGCTTAAAATGTCCAGACTGTAATGATGTAAGTTCAGCGAGCACAAGTGTCTTTCGACAGACATTTTGGTATGAACACATGCACAATTGTAGTTTTTCCTCGAATACGCAGAAGAAGAATCCCAAGAAGGGCACATATGCACAATTCTAGTTGTGTTAATACCAGCCAATGTTTTAAAAGTTCTCCCTTTGAGATGCATGTTTAGTTCCCATACCTATAACATTTGAATATGTGGCTTATGCTTTTATGTTGTCTTGTTTTTTTTTTTGCGGGTGTTTTATGTTGTCTTGTTGATGTTGGGTTCTGCTGCTTATCCCTGTCGTCACTTAATTCTGACCTATTATTGAAATGTTATGCAGGTTTAATTATAGACATATGGCCAACACGCTGTCTTTGTACAGGTAGTATACTTAATACAGTTATGCCATTATATGCAATTGTCAATCATTGTCCTATGTAAGGTTATTCCTTAGTAATGAATATACCACTTTTTCCAGGACTGTTAAGAGATTAGGAATACCTGACGAGCGGATAATACTTATGTTGGCGGATGATATGGCTTGTAATCCTCGGAACAATTACCCTGCCCAAGTGTTCAACAATGAGAACCACCAGCTTAATCTTTATGGTGACAATGTTGAGGTGAATCTCTTTTACTCTGAAAATATTGCTGCTGAATTCATAACATTGTAGTTTGAGAACCCCTAGGGTGCAATATCTTCCCAAGCCCATGATGTGCATGTATCATTGATACCAATGAGGTACCAAAGCTACGAAATAGTTGATGATATCTAAGCATGCATACCCACAGTAAATGACACACTACGACTACTTGACCTCTTTTTGAACAAGTAGATGCCCATAGGCATATATGATCGATATATTGCAGTACCTACAATCTTGATTTTCCCATTGATAATATCATGAAACAATGCCTCCTAAAAGATGGTCAAATTTTGCAAAACGATGGATACTTAAGGCACTCTACACAGTTCAATATGGCCAGTTAGGTCATTTACGGATGGTGGCAGCTGACAATTATCCAAGTTGTCCACTCATAATGCTATGCAATCTGACATTTGTATTAAAAAAAGTAATATTTGATCTTGGTATGCTGATGTTACTCTTTTGGTTTTCTAATGACAGGTTGATTACCGAGGTTACGAGGTTACAGTTGAAAACTTTTTGCGAGTTTTGACTGGCAGACATGAGAGTGCTGTACCAAGATCAAAGCGTCTCTTAAGTGATGAAGGAAGCCATATTCTTTTGTACATGACTGGGCATGGTGGGGATGAATTTCTGAAGTTCCAAGATAACGAAGAACTTCAGAGCCATGATTTAGCAGATGCAGTAAAGCAAATGAAGGAGAAGCATAGGTTGAATTGTTTAATTATCAACATTTGGATATTGGCTTGCGCTCCTTCATTTCTGGGTTCATTGGTTCTGACCTTTTCACCTTGGTCTTCCTTTCAGATTTAAAGAGTTGTTGATAATGGTAGATACCTGCCAGGCTGCTACTCTGTTTTCACAGGTTTGTTTCTAGTTGCCACAAGTTTGGCTTGACACATACTGAATTACTGTTATACATATTATCCATTTCATTTTGTAACCATCCAATATTTTTACCTTTTGGGTACGGTTCAGAGATGTTTTTATTTATTTGTTTTTCGCACAACTAGCTCCAGGTTCATCTTTCTGAATTTGTTCTCCATATGACCATATACACTTTGTAACATTAGTTGTTGCCGTACATCACCTTTTTATCACGAAATAGCTGTTTGGCATATAATAGTGGCAAATGCTGTATATGCCTTTTGTGAAAATGTATGCTAACCACTTGTGTTTCATGATTTGAATAATAGTTCACATAATTATAGATTCAGACAAGGATCTGCTCTGGTTGAGTAGACTTCACCCTCTCGGCTTTTCTATATCTGAAAATTATGTCTAAAGACTGTACCTGACATGTTTAATATATACAGCTTCAATCACCTGGCGTTTTGGCGATTGGTAGCAGCATGAAAGGGGAAAACTCGTACTCTCACCATCTTGACTCAGACGTGAGAACATGCCCTATACAGTTGTTTCAGATAGTATTTGCGAACTTATTATACCTTATTACTACTTGTTACGAAGCTGGTTAATGTTAAATATTTCTGGTGGCAGATTGGTGTTTCTGTTGTGGATAGGTTTACCTTCCATACACTTGCTTTCTTTGAGAAGCTGAACATGTATAGCAATGCTTCATTGAACAGGTGAATAGTACTTTACATGTTCTTCTCTTGGATTATGTATATCGGTTGAAAGTTCATCTATTATCTGCATGACAAGGTGTTGAACTTCGTGTTATTTCTTACTGCGATGTCTAATTACTGTAAAAAAATAGTCATTTACTCTTTTTTGTTGAGTGTGAACGTTGTGTCCTGCCAGGTGATGATCTAGGTGTGCTGTGCAATTTGCTTTGCTGTTTCTATATTAATACAGGTCATGTTCTTGTTCAGTTTTCGAATTTCTATGTAATATGATGTGAAAGGAAGGTCTGCATCATTTGGGTGCTTTCTCTATATACATGATGTTAATTTATCCTTTCTTAATCTAAAGAGAGAAGGAAGAATCGAAGACTTTGTTTTTCTTAGCAAAATTGGCCAGTTCAGCTTCAAATGATCACTAGAATAGTTTGTATATTCTTTAATGAACTTTTAAGATTCTTGTTCACCAATGCTTTGATTTCTTTGGTGATCGCTCCACTAAATGCTATTAGCTGAAAATGTGACACCATATGACTTCCATGCATGTCTGCCTTAAACCAGCCACAACAATCTGAGGAGTACACTTGCTTAAAAGGCAGACACGAATGCTTCATAAAAAAATGGTTTGTGCAATATTACCATGCAGCTAGTTTATAACTTGTTTACTTCCGTTAGATCTTCAGTATGGAGATAGTCATTTACAGTAACATATAATTCATTTCTAAAAGTGATATTTAACCAATATGCTTTCTTTCGAACTTACATAAAAATAATTGAAATCCATGGCTTCTAACTGCGGGCTAATCATATTGCAGTGAACTTTAAATTCAATGCTGACTGTTTTCTGTGTTCACTTATGAATTAAGAGTCAGTTGTGTCCTCTATTCTAAATTATGTGCTATGTCACTCAACTAGATTCAGTCTTATATTTGTTAAAAGAATATAGCTGGGTGGCCCTCATTAGCATCCAGTGCTCATCATGGTGTGTTATAACCTTGTCTTTTATATCCCAGTCTTTTCAACTCATACGACCCTTCCATGCTGCTGTCTACTGCATATTATCGAATGGATCTTTACAAGCGTGCCTTAAACGAGGTAATTGCAAAATAATATCTATTTGTAATGACTCCTCTGTTGTCCATGGCTAAGCCTTTTTCCCCTTCTATTCTGTCTTTGACCAGGTCCCAGTGACAAATTTCTTTGGGTCAGTCATGAAGACTATCCATACCGATTCAGCCTACACAGGCTTCTTAGCTGCACATGACACAGAAACCCCCCTTCCTACCGGAAATGATATACTTGACCATGTCATGTTAGAGGATGAGGCTAGTGCAAGAAGATCAGACATAGAAGAGATGAAAGTGAGTTTTAGTAAATTTTGCAAAAACGAAATAGAATTTTGAGACTAATACTTTGTTAATTGCAACATCCAGGAAGCACAATTAAGGTCGCATGGATGGACAGAGGCCTTGCTAGAACAGCTGGAAGGCAAGAATTCTGATGTTGTTGTGATGTATGGCCTGGGAACTATGGGCATACTGTTGGCAATTTCAACCTGGCTATCAATGTAGGAAGGAACTCTGAAGTGTGCTGTTAACACATCTTGCAGAAAAAACTTGGCCATACTAACTCCGACAGAATAGGATAGAAAAGAGTGTAAATAAGGGAGATACTTTGGAGCTCTGACATTTTGTATTTTGTACCTTATCTTAGTATCCAGTCAGTTTTTTAATATAATTGATGTGCGTAGTTTTTGTATGGCATGCTCTACTTTTTTTGGATACGTAAGAAACTATATTTGGTGGACATTTTTGTGCATCTTTTGTTACAGTTCTCTGGATCACATATCATATATGTCAGATTATTTCGTCATAATAGTTGAAAACATTTAGGTACGGATAAGAATATGTACTCAAAACCCAAAATTCTGAGGAACTTTCTTTTAGCCAAATGTCAGAGCTTAGTGTTTCTAATAGATTTGATGGCACCAAGTTTTGAGCTTTGATCATGCTTAGACCAGTCCTTTCTGACACGTACAAGGTGTGGAACTGATCATTACTTCTTCCACTTGAAGGGATATTTGGCTCAAGCTGTAGTTTGTGATTCGAAATGTTTTATTCTTCCTTTTTACAGTGTTGGACACATCACGTTCTCATTCTAGATCGCCAGACATGGCATCGACTTGGGTAGTTTTACGCTGGTATCTGCATAGATGAGTATAGCTCCTCTAAAGTCTATTTGCTCATGAAAATTGTATATATAACCCCTATATTCACATCTTAAAACGGTTGCCATCGGCTGCTGATAACACTTCTTATATACTCCCTCCATTCCTAAATATAAGTCTTTTTAGACATTTCAAATGGAATACAACATACGGATGTGTGTAGACATATTTTAAAGTGTAAATTCACTCATTTTGCTCCGTATGTAGTCATTTGGTGGAATCTCTAGAAAGACTTATATTTGAAAACGGAGGGAGTATTATAATAAGATCACGTCTTCGTGCAGCTTTTTCCCGCAAGTTCTTTTATGTATTTTTAAATTGTTGTTGTCACCACCTTAATCTCTAATTTCTCACAAGTTTGGTGGTTTTTCTTTATGGTATCTTATACTGCTGGTTGATGAATAGCAGTATAACTCAAAGAAATCTAACCATCAATTTTAGGGGCACCAAGGACAATTTTCCATTGAATTGTTTTTCTTCGGAGGGTAGTTTCAACTAACAGTTTTGTGTCAGACTAGGTTTGATCTGTACAAATATCTCCGAGACTTCACGTTGACATGGTTGGAAAAGTCTATGACCGGAACGGTGCTCTATATGAAAAAAGCTAAACTACTGCCTCCGGTCCATATTACTTGTGGGTTGCGACAAGTATAATATGGATCGGAGGGAGTACTGAACTCTTTGAAACTACCATCAAATCTATTAGATCATCTCTAGTAGATCTCTCAAAAGTTATTTAAGAGAGAAATTTTTGTTTTGAGGGATTAAGTGATATCTAGCGGATCCCTCAAATGTGTAGTTCTTAAAGAACAAATATAGGTTTGTATCCCTTAAAAATTTGCTCTCTAACTTATTTTTTTACTCTAAGAGAGGGCATTTTCATGGAAAGTAGGCAGACTCCTCCCGCCCCGCATTCATGGCGTGCCGACGCGCGTGCCGGTCGATTGACTCGGCTCCAGCTAAAAACCTAGGGTTGCCACCCCGAAACCTAGCCCATCCCACCGCAAACCCATTTTCGCCGTCGCCGCTCCCAATTTAAGCTTCTCCTGCTGCCAAATCAGGTCGTCGCCGCTTTCCTTGAGCTCAAGGTTGCGGTCGCCGGTCTAGCTCCATCCCCTCCTGAACCCCGCATCGCCTCTAGTAGATCCCGTGCCGCCTATCCGACATTGCCACCACTCCGCACGCTGACCCGACCACCCTCTTTACCCCAGCACCGCCTTCCCGAGCCGTCCCCAAGCCATCTCCCCCGAATACGTTGCCGCCCTAAGTGTTGTTTGTTTGCCACCGCAGCTTCGATCCCCTGTGACGTCTCCCTAAGCTTTGTCGCCATTTTCACAGCCATCAGCATTGCCGTTGTCATCGAAGTACCGCGATGTCTCTCGCCGTTCGTGGGGCAAGTCTGCAGCGGAGATCCGCGATGCCTTCACGAGCCGTGTGTGGCTAGGCACATTTACCACCGCAGAGGAGGCATCACGCGCTTACACCGCCGTCGTGTGTCACTTCTTCGGGCCACGAGCGAAACTTAACCTCCCCACCAATGTGGCTGTTGTGGCCGGTCACGCCCCTCCTACCATTCGTATCATCTACCAGGCCGAGGCAATGCACAACCAAGCGCACTGATGACGATCGACTTGCTGGCCAAGCTCATCGAGGAGGACTCAAACCTCCTCAATGAGAACCAAGCCTTCTTCGAGTCAGTGGCAGACGAGCACACAGTCAACCGCTTGACTGCCTCCAAGCCAAGAAGATATTCAACAAGCTAAGCGACGAGGAGTACAAGGACAAGATGCCATGAAGTCGGACAACCCCAACCTCAATGAGGCCAGTTTCCTCCTTTGACTCAGACTTCTCGGATTACATTAAGGACGATGAGTAGTAGAACTATGTACTGTGTAGTTTTATTTATGTTTTATATCAATGATTAACCTAGTTCGACATCGATGTAGTGTTAATGGACGGTTTAATTATGCTATATATATTATGATGTTAATGTGGTATGTTGTTGAATTATTCAATGAACTAGTTTAAATTTGTGTTTGAAGTGAGTTTGTGTATAAAGAATTGTGTTCAAAATTTT